TCTCTCCCATAATACCAGAAATAAAGGACTAGAAATTCATTCTTAGTACAGAAATAATGATACATAACAACGTGCTAGCAACAAAACAAAGTGCAGGTGAAACCAAGAAGAAGAGAAACCCTAGTTCGTATAGTATATATTATACATTTAAGAGAAATTAATATATACAACCAAGAACATTTACATTTTTTAAACTATACGAAGGAAAAAAAAAGAACATAGAAGCTTGTTACACCAACTTCCAGTTGGGAAACAACTCAGTAAAGCACTAATAATAGGCCCCCACAGCTTCTTATGTCCTCTATATATGAAGCATTTTTCATCTAAGTTTAGTTCTATATACCTACCAAAAATGAGAAATGTGAAAAATAAAAATAGCACCCACCCCCTATCATTTCAAGAAAATTTGTCCCTCGGCCAGCATAACATGTGCTTAGCCATTCCATCAATCTTTTTAAAGTCCAGATGAGATGAGAGAACCTTTTGTTGTTGCTGTTCCCACAAACCATCTTACAAACTCTCACGTCTTTAATTCTTTCTTTTAAAAAAAAATAAAAAATCATGCAAGCTAAGAAACTTATCAATATTTCTGTAGACAATCGTTTTTCAAGCCATAGGGTAGGGGTACTACACATATATTAGGTGTACCAACTAATAACTCGGATATTTCAGGATCGTCAGTTAGTGACTGATGAACCATTTTCCTCCAATACCAACAATAATAACTGTATCTCAATCTCGAGCAAGTTTACATGATTAACCCTCAAAGACCATAGTGGCGATTCATCATAATCTCGAGCAAGTTTATGCGTAATGAACCTACAAGGACCCCGTATTATATTCGTACTTGGAACTGGCAACAAGAGCAAGCTCGCATTGAGGGAATTTTTTTCTTCCTTAATGATATTTTCCTCAAAATATCTCAAAAGAAAAAGAAAAAAGAGACCAAAGAGAAAGGAACAAATAGTTCATTCTTTCTTCTATTTGTTTTTTTAATCACACTATCTAGTGATTGTGATTGCAAAAGTTAAAGACAGAGACCATGTGGACAAGACTAGAGATATGTCAAACGTAATGGTCCTATATGATCACTTCCATAAAAGTGCAATTTTCATAGGATTAATTTTCTTGCAAAGCACTAAATTTAGGTGACATGTCCCTTTTTCAAGTCTGTTTCAAACCTTGTACTTAACTATGAGTATTAAAATGTCCCTTCAGTTCACAGCAAGAATCTAATTATCAATCAATTAAGGCTTTACAACGTATGAGGCTACTACGTTTGGTGCTTCACCAAACCAATCAATTATTATTGCATTATGGTATTTAATCATATCACTAGCCACAACCAAAAAAAAAGCAAAAACAAATTACTAATTCAAGAATTTCAAACTACTACAAATAAAATAGAATTAGCTACAAACTTCGTGCTAATATGTCGCTAAATCATTGTAGCTAACATAATTTCTTGATAATTTATCACTAATCCATCACTAAATAGGATTAACGACGAATTTTTTTATTTAGCTACAGAATTTGTCCGTTGCTAATTTCTATTTTTTGGGTAATCCGTCAAACTTGGATTGGACCCTTCTTCTCTTCCTCTTCCCCTAAAGACAGATCCAAAATTTAAACATGTTCAAGTTGTTCTACGCCAATGGCTCAATCTATTTAGTTTACTAGGTTCAAAATCTATTATTTATACTTAGGTTTTTTAACATAAATACAGGATCAGNCCCCCCAACCCCATAATGCCCCTAGTAACTCAAAGGGAGGAACGGTTAATGTGTAATGTAAAAAGTTCATAGAAGTAGTTGCATTCAATTACTCAAATGTATTACTAGTAGCTAATGGTGTGACACATGAGTATATGGGATATGAGAAAGTGATGTACTTTTCTTAATCTTGAAGTAACAATTGCATATACTTCTACAGCAAGAAATTTACTGTCAGTGGTATTTAGGTTTTAGCAAATTTCATCATACCACAAGTCAGCATTTATTAAAAGAATGGATCCAGTCTTGAAATTAGAGGAAATTGTCAAGGGTCGTACATTTTCTCTTGAACAAATGGAAAATCGAATTTTTCTTGTGTTTGTTGTTCAATAGGTCATTTTTTTGTTCAAAGCATCTTCATGCAATGTTTGGACTGAGTTATACATTACCTCCTCACCCCGATTGTTTGAATTTTGACACGCTAAAATTGCGGTAAAACTTACCCGCTTCGGCGATTACAAAGTAAATTTAAAAATTTACTCGCACCGGATATTTACAGAAAAAAATGACATAATTGTCTATTTGAAAATTAGATCTCAATTTACCCTCGAGATATGACTTTCTTCGATTTTACTATATAGAAGTTCAATTTTTACTAGGAGTGACAAAGTGAAAGGCACGTGGAACTCTCACCACCATACAATTAGTTATATGTCGAAGAGCAATTTTGATACTTTGCATACATTTTGCTAATTTTTTTTTTATTTCTTAAATTTCGTATCCAATCAAACACTTTCACATGAAATGACATTGAGAGAGTAAAAGCATAAAAGTTACATTTGATCATATATAAGACAACGATATTCTCAAGAACGTCCTTATCAAATAAGAGTTACGTAACCTCTCTTTATAGGTTTGAGGAGAGTAGAATGTATGCCGACCTTAGAGTAAAACATTACCAATATAAAGTAGAAATTTAGGATTATCTTCCAAAATCTATAGAGTAAGACGCAAAGTGAAATCATAATATAACTTTGAAAAGTAAAATACTTTCTTTTAGAACGGTGAAGTCATGCAAGTTGCTACCTGTTACTAATATATAAGTTTGAAAAGTTTACTGTTTTTTAAGTGTGAAGTTAATCATAGTTAACTTAAGATATATGAGAGGGAAAACCTCTTTTCCTCTTTCTTAATTTGCGGTTCTAGTGTGTTGTCACGACATGATTAGACAAAATCCTCATTATTAAAAAGAATATAGATTTATGATTTTATATGAACCAATGTCACTAAAAAAATTAGAATTAATTACAAACTTTGTCACTGATCTGTCGGTAAATCGCTTATAGCGAGCATAATTTCTTAGTATTATGTCGTTAATTCGTTGCTAAATAAAATTAGTCATGAATTTTTCTGTTTATCTATAGAATTTATCCGTCGCTAATTTCTATTTTTTTTAGTAGCGTGTGTTTTGTTTCCAAAAGGCCGAGGAGAAGAAAATTCGCTGGACAACAGTTCTTAAGTTCAACTATTAGTTCTGCGAAGGTTAATTTTTGTCGGTGGGGAGGCTTTATTAATTTATGACGAAATTAAACATTGAAAGTAATATATATAATACATACCTCATCTCACAATAATAAAGATATTCCTAAATACAGCCAGAATCTCAAAAGAAAAAGGAAGAAAATGGAAAAAGAAAAGAGGATGATATGTCAAATTTCCTGGCACTGATATGCCAAATTTCCACATCTTGAAAGTACTGAAAATTAAATACAATTTCGGATTCCATTTTATTTTTCTATACTTTTGACTGTTTAATTTTTGGAATTTGTTTCCCTTTGTTTTATGTATACTTCAACCTAAAAAATAATGTATGTGGTAAATGACAGAAATGTTGTATCAAAGTGATAAAGTTTTCACCTGCCAAAGGGATCTATTGATATGTCTGTATCACCGCTGGAGTTTGTACGTATTGCCTAAATTTCCCTGCACAAATGCCAGTCCCAATCTTGGTTGTTTAGAAGCTTTCTTATCAGTCCATCCATACATCTACACTTAGTACTATTCCATAAATACCTTTTATTCTGGAAAAGTGCTTTCTTCTTATTTATTTTTTATGTAAATATAGCTCACTCTGTCTTATATAAAGGTGATCGAACAAAAATAATGTTTAAGATATAAATTTAGCTTATACTATATATTATAGCAGTGATCACAGCCCGGGGCGTAGCTAGAGTGCCGGGAAGGGGTTCGGCCGAACTCATTAGCTTTATTTCGAACTCTGTATTTGTCTTAAAAAATTCATTGAATATGTATTTAGAACCTAGTAGCTTAAGGCGATTAAAATTCCGAACCCATAAACTTGAAATCTTGACTCCGCCTCTAATCACAGCTGAAGCAAAATACCAAATTGTTGAAATTAAGTTGACAGAGAAAATATCACATCAAAGTTATAAATTTGGATATCTTAATAATTTAAATTTTTTGAAGGCGGTGAATACTGTATGAAACTTGAATAATACTAAATATTTTGGACGTTTCAAAATAAAGAAATCATATAAATTGGAAGGTGAGTAATTATTTTCAGATCATCAAGTCGATTTTCTGCCATTCAACATATTTTGATTGAAAAAAGGAAGAAAACGCCAAAAAGGATGGGAAAGGCAAGCAACGAAGAAAATTATTAAGATGGGAGATATCATTAGCTTTGCTTTTCTCTGTTTGGGAACTTTAGGTTCAGGATCAGACTTTTGTTTAATTTTGTTTGAAATTGATGTAAACTTAGTATCATCCAAGTTATATACAACAATTATTAGATAAAAGTTGGGTGTCAGTCAGCATTTGTCAGCATTTCATTAAATCCTTTATTTGACAAATTCATAGCGTTGAATGACACTCTCGAAGCTTGCATGTGAGTGTTTCTTTTTATAGAGCATATGGATAACATATACTAATACATACAATATCTTTAAAAACATGAGGATACTCAACCTTTTCACAAATGTGAATACTAGATTTTTTGAAAAGAAATTTCTCAAAACTAGGTAAAAGGATAAGTTCTACCTTACTTTGTGATAGAATGAAATATGAAAGAATGAGATTCGCATATGCCTTCTTCCTCATTTTGTAATTTTTTCTTTCTAAAAATTACATTAGGGGAGAGGAAAGATGAATGAAATATTACGCTATCATTATGGTTTAAACCCTCTATCTCAACGCTGAAAGGAATTAAGCAAACCCTCAACCCCTTAATGTGAAAGAATGAGATTGTCCACCCTTAATCTTATAGAATTAAATTTGCAATATGTCTTCTCCCTCATTTGCATAACATTGCCAATATTACTATCCGTCGCATAGTTAACTCTACATTATTAACCACCATACTATGATTCCTTCAGCGCATAAACAACCCTGCATTACAATTTTGGCATAACCAGTGTTACAAATTCAGTTGGGAGAAGGGGAAGCAAACAGGGAAAGCAATAGGAAACAAAAGTAGACTCACATTACAAAGAAAACAGGAACCAAAAGTAGATTCGCACAACAAAGAAAAGAAGAGAGAAACCAAACGTGGGGTTGAGGGGATTTGTGGTGGTGGTGGTGGTTTGGGTGGGTTTGGGGGGCAAACTGCAAAAGCCCCTCGTGTGACATTGGCTTTGTGGGGTAAAAACTTTAAAAAGTGTGACAGAGGTTCAAGTGGTGGATCTGTCTTTTTTTTCTTTCCAACTGCAGACACATCCTTCTCATCCACGTCAGTCTACCTTATGCACACTATTTCTATCCCCCCTGCTCCTCATCATAACTATTGCCCTATTCAATTCAATATATTACCACCACTGTAAACATTGCCAGAATATCATTCATGAAATTCACAGAGAGACAGCTATATCTTTTTCAACTTATGGCCAAATATTAGTGCAGTTTCCTTTTGCTTTCTGGGGCATGTACCATCCTCCTTTATCCCTGTTTCAGGAATGACTAAAATACACATCAAGCAATATAATGGACAGATACCAAATTTAACAGGATCAATGAGGCCAAGCAATTTTGTCACACGTGTTGCCCTAACAGTGTATATTTAATGCAGACCCTGCATTACAAACACAGAGAAAAGCAGAGGTCTGAAATTGAGTAACCATTATCAATCTTCCTAGAGTTCAGCCTTGTCTCAATGTTAGGTCATTTTCAAACTAAGCCACAAAATTTGACCTTGACCAAGGCCAAGATTCCATGTCCAAAGGACACTGGAGGCAGGGTTTTGGCATCATTGATCATTTTCTAAAATTGCATCAAGCCACCAAGTAAAATTCATTTTTATGTTCATAATATCGTATAACTTGAGAAGACTATAATTCGAAAAATAATCTACCTATAATTCGAAAAATAATCTACCTAGGCCTTGGTGGGCAGAGTTACCCTGTACCTGTGATGGTGGGTAGTAATAAATACCCGATAGAATAGTCGACGTGCATGAAAGCTGACCCGAGCACCGCTGTTGTCTAAGGAAAAAAGACTGATTTAAAAATTAAACAAGTCTTAAGTGCATTTCTGATATGTATCTTTTGCATTGGGTGAAGGAAGGAGACTCCCAGAGGTTTGTTGTTCTTCACTTCCATGCATTACTAGCCAGAGAGAAGCACAGATGCTTGCTACCACAAAGCTGGCCCAATGACACACAGTGAAGCTTCAGCTAATCTTTTGAACAAATCAGAAGACACAGAAGTTCCAAGTAACAATAGTAAACCAGCCTACTTTTTGACTAACTCAACATGAATAATAGCAGATAAACATCTAGGGGTGTGTGTTTGAATATGGCAGGACCACCACATGGAGATGTTGTAAAAAAGTTTAAGGAAAGCAACAACTGGAATACAATCTTTGGACTGACCTAGAGTGTAATGCTCCTAGCTTATCATGAGAGTTGAACTCAAAGTAAACATGACAGGACCACATATGGTTCTGCAGAGCAACGTGATAATAATAAATCTGCTACAGCAAAAACATAGAAAAATCAATCATGAACATGTGAACACAAATATCAGACAAAAACAATTATGAGACTTCACTGAAAGACAATTAGATGAAAGGAAGTTTCAGTGTTCATTTGATTCAACAACTAGGGACACAGTTAACTGAGATCCTTTTGTTCTCCATAGAGCCCATAATGATTCAGCCATAGATGTCACTTCAACTATGAAAATGAAGAATTCTGTTCATCTATGTCTACAATGTTCTATACTATTGTAAAAGATAAAAGTTCCAGATCATGTCAAATGTGCCAAACAGAAAAAATCAAAAATTAACTGGGGATTTTCAGAGTAATTAGCAACTCTAGAGTGGGAAGAAAACGGAATATCTAAAGGGAGCAGCAAAAATTCCAGCAACCACTTCACTTGCACACTTGATGAAGGATGCATGAATCTCAAAATAGCCTCAGAGAAACTCCAGAAATCAACAATTGCCTGAGAGTTGCTTTAGAATGACCAAGAAGCATTACAGTATATACAACATCACATGGTTTAATGTTGAAGCACAAAACATTAACGTGGGAACGAAAAAGGAGGGCGCTGTAATGCTTTTCAACCACAACGAAAGGGTCAATAATATAGGCCAAAAATTGGACCAAATAAAACAGATGCAAACTCCAAGATGTATTTAACTTAATGTCACTAGTCAACCAACAATGTAGATATGGAGCTCAAGGGTGCTCTATGTCATGCAAATGGAATTTTATGCAGCTAAATCTGAGTTAATAGAATTTTCTGAAGCAATATTTTATGAGTGGTGTAATAGTTTCAATTAAAAACAAAAACAGTTTGCAGTTTCGGAATAAACCTTGTAATGGTGAGCATTCTAGAAGAGTTCTCAGTTCATAAATAGCACAATTTCTCCCTGAGTTGATTATGCAATAACCAAACATCTCCAAGAATCAAGAAGATTTGACATATCCATACAAGGGAATAGACATTCATGTAGCATCATGAGCTTAAGTCCATAGATAATTGCCAACCAGAAGTGGTCTCAGTCTATATAAAGGTTATTGTGTTTAAGGTTCCTACTGATGCCAATTGCTGGTCGAAAACTATTTCAGTCTACATAAAGGTCAGATATCATTACTCCCGGAGTCAAATTTCAATGAACATGAACAGTTGATCCTGTTAGAAAACTTTGAGGCCTACATAAGATCAAGTGTTTGAGCTAAAGAATATTCTGAATTCAAGGAAAAACTCAATAGTAGTAATATTTTCTTTTTGATAAGTAGGAAAAACATAATATTTACACCTTTCCTTCTCATCACAGGATCTGCAAATTCAGTTGAGACTTGGGAGAATTCACAAGCATATTGAGAGATAAAAACAAAAATCTCCCAAGACCAAGTTGGGTTCGCTATATGAATCCACAGTATCAGTGGAGGAGGTAAGTGGAGTGAAGGGAATTCAATTTGTTGAAAAATTACACTGTGTGAATAGGGAAAAAACCAAACTTTTCTGTTACATATAAGCCGTTGAATCCCCTTGATATGCGTAAAAGTACACTGAAGTGGCAAAGAAGGTTCAAAAATTGCTATCACAGGTTCAAATGCCAAATGTGACATTCTATTCTTTTTTTGAATCCCCTCGTATAAATTCCTAACTCCATTGCTGCACAGTGTCATTCTAATACTCAATAATTTGCCTTTTAACACAGTAAAGCATTAAGAGAGATACAAATTGAGACAAAATTTCTAACATTCATATAAATTTTACGTCAACATTAACAATCACAAACCAAAAAGGATTAAAGCTTACAACTTTATCATTTCAAGAATGAGGTCAGAGTCACATAATTGAAAATCCAAAACACAAACATCCCTTCAAGAACACCCAAAAATACACCAGCAACAACATCGAACATGAAATGACGGCCAAGAAGTATCCTAGACAACGATGTCGTTGCGGCCCATCCAATCACAATAAGCATTAAATAATCCACAAATAGATCATATTTAAGCTGAATCAATATATCCTTAACGAAATCGGAGTAAAGGTAAAAGAGAGTGGCTATAAATGAAACCCTAGATGAATGTCCGCTAGGGAAGGACCAATGGTCAACGGAAAAAGAGAGGAACATGTTTTTGTTGTAAACGGGTCGGGGCCTCCGAATAAGGTGTTTGAGGGATCCGATTACGATTAGGTCGACTATTCCGCCGAGGAGGAGGTTGATTAGGAAAATGTTGTTAGTAGTTTCGGTGGTGGTGGAGAAAGTGAGCGGGTAGAGGAGTAGTGAGAGGATTAAAGGGAAGAAGAGGAAACCATCGCCGGAGATTTCTAGGGTTTTGAGAAAGTAATAAGGGAGGATTGGGCGAGTCAGTGTGTAGAGACGGAGGGAGATGGCGGTGTCTAGATCGACGATGCGGCGGAGCAAAGACGGCGACGGCGGTGGTGACTTGGATGCCATCCTTCCAGTTTGTGGAGCACAACAGAAGCTAACTGATTTCAGTTACTGATTTTTCAGTTGAAGTGTGATGTGAAAATGTCCGGAAGTTCGTTAAGATTGAAGCCCAACTGAGGCCCAATAATGAGTAATACAATGGATTGTGAAGACCCAAAAAATGGATATCGAAGAATTAACCCAAATAGCCGTCCACCTAATCTCTTAAATTAAAAATAGCCGGCAAATATATAATATATGTATGATACATGTGATATGTATAACTATATATAATCAATGTATAATTTATTTATATCGGTGATCTCAGTTTTGGAGCACGTCCGAAGAGTTACAAAATGGGGTAATGATTTTTAATGTATGATATAATTACCGTTTATTGCAGAATACTTTATTTTTTAGCAACTTAGTGATGCCAGAGGCAATGAAACAGTAAGAAGAGGCGGAGGAAATTAAGATAAAAACTAAGCTAAAAGCTATGATAGGGTTTAATAAGATATTTTCATAGATAATCTACCAAAATGCAGGGAATGACAAATATATAGAAGAATATTCCCTTAGGACCACTATTAAGAGATAAGGTTGTACCCGTTCTCAACTGACAGTACTATCGAGGATCAAAAGTGCCCTTTCGTAAAGAAATTACAGACTCAATGCGAATACTATAAAACATAAACTATAAATTTAAGAGGACTAAAGTGCAACAACTGAACTCTTTATTTAAATAAACTCCAACTAACTATAACGGTCAGATACTCCTTCGATACTACTCCTGAACCACAACAGTGGTTTTTCCACAATTCATTTTTGCATCACTTAGCTGTATACCTAGTAAATGAGGAAAAAAAAATAAACAAACCAAAGAGTGGTTTCGACTTGGACAAATTTGATTATAACAAACTTTCTCTACTTATCTAGATCCAACCATTTTGACCAAAACAAGTGAACAACTCAGCTTTCGGTTGGTTTGTTACACAAATAGCCGGCTAAATTCATTGTTTATTTTTTATAGTTGGTATACATAAATTATACGTAAGTTATAGATAGCCGGCTATTTTTAATTTAATTGATTAAGTAGGCGATTATTTGAGTTAATTCTTCGTTAAAAAAGAGTACCGGTGAGAGATTGAATCATGACCAAAACTTGACCCAATTTGTCCATTTAATAAGTAAAGTTTGGACATTGCTTACCAGATGTTAGCGCAACAGCTGATCCATAATGAAGCCCAAAAGGCAGTAACAAGGAAATAATGGAAGGTGTATTATCATTTTTAGCCCGTGACAGAAATTATTTATATCTAGTATCCGAAAAGTATATAAAATTATATAATTTTTGTATATAACATACAAAATCTGTATATATAAAAAGAATATACACATTTTATATATTTTTTCAACTATTATTTTTACAGGGGCTATACAATATCATTTTTTCATAATGGAAAGCCCAAAATTTTCTAACAGATGTTTCATATCGGGTTATTCTTTTCTTTCGGGACGTTTTGAAAAATTATACTATGAGCTGAAAAATACTCTCAAGTTTATGATCAGAAGCAAAATGATTAGACATGATCATTAGACTGTCCAAAAAATCTTTAATCTCCCACTAACAGAAAAATAAAATAAAATAGTGACAGAAATCAAACAATAGTTGTAATGATTTGTTGACTATAAGAAACAAATACACAAACACTAACACATGGTATCAATAATTCCCTTTGTAACTTTAGAAGGTGGAAACATTTGGTCGTGCCAACAAAAAGTTCTAACGAAAAAAATATTTGAAACGGCTTAAGTGATTATATATTTCTCATTATAGGCAAATGACAAGGCCAACACTCAATAGGTTCTCCAGATTTTTTCTGAAAAGAGAATGCCACTTTTATTTTTGATCCCATTTCTAACAATAGTCCAAAAGTTTTCAAACTTGTAGACACTATAATCATATTGCATGTTGAAAATAATCGCATTTCTGGAATGTGTTTATTTATTCTGGACATGATTATATGGCAACTCTTTAAAGCTTTCAAACTTTTCAACAGTACAATCATTTCTTTGAAATAACTCAGAAGAAATTTGACATAATAACCATCAAGGAAGTCTTTTTATATGGTTCTCAGGCGACTTCAAAATGTCAATGGAAAATCCATTTGATATGAAATGGTTATATATTTGATATGTGCTCACTCGTTTTTTTTTTTTTAAGTTAAAGGCCCATTTGGCCATAAAAAAAAAGATTTATTCACTTTTTTCAGAATCAGTGTTCGGCCGTTAGAATTTCAAATTTCACTTTTGAAATTCGAAAAACTCCAAAAAACTGTTTTTCCAAATTTTCACTTCAAAGCACTCACAAAAATTCAAAAATAATTCCAAATTGTATTCATGTCCAAAGACAACCTTAATTTCTAAATATCATTTTAAATGTGAAGAAGACAAAACTACGAGACCGAAAAGCCTATGAGGTGGCTAGAGGGGTTGTAATGAATTTTTTTGGGGGGAGGGGGGAGGGGTGGTGTAATGAGAAAAGCAGGTAGCTCATAGCTTCTCTGATTTTAAGTTAATTTCTGTGGCAGTGAAACTTAAATTTTGGCTGCCAATGTATTTTCTTTAATATAAGTTGACTGCCATACTGCCTAACTTATTAATGAAGGAACAATTTAAATAATACGAGCATTTAATAGTATAAGAAAGTAAGTGTTTGGTACATTTAAGTTTACATCTGAATATCTAGTCCAAAAATGCAATGACAACGCCGTGGTTCTTAGGTTGTCTACAATTTCGGATTAAATTAACTTATCAGTAATAAAATAATATTAAGTCCATGCACATAATTAAATAAAATATCAAGAATTTCAAAATATTTTAAAATATCACCTAGCTTTGTTTGGCTTGTGAATGTACTATCTTGTTCGTACCACCTCGAAAGCACTGCGAAATTTAAAAGAAATTGATGGATTGTCTGATAACATGCAGCCATTTAATTCAATTTGGACTGGTAATTATTTAATAAAAAACAAGCTACAGCTATCATAGCACTGTGGTATATATTTGTTTCGATTAAAAAGCAGAAGAAAGTAAGGACACAAGTCACAAGTTATTATACGAACCAGATATATTTCTGAAAAATACAATAATAAATTTATTGCAGCTGTCTAGATGTTTAAAAAACGGGGCCATAAAAATGATGAATTTCTAACAGTTTTTGCATGTTAATTGAAAACCTGAATAAGGAAACAAAATATTTGTAATGGGACAGGGAGGTGGGGGCAAATTAAAACTAAAAAACAAAAGTGAGAAAATAAATGCATTAATATTTTTCACCATCAAAATATGCATTCAAGTTAGTACTGAACTGCAGTATTGAAGTTGTTGCTTAGTCAATTTCAACATGAAGGCTGGTGAGGTTTATGATCTGAAATGATTACTACTCTACTTCTAGTAACCCTACCTAGATCTAAGAATTTAAGTGCAGTATAACTATCGTATTGAATTTAAGGACATCAAACTCCATATATATAGTGTATGGAAAATTGTCTTTGATTTTTCAAATTTACGCCAACTATTGTGTGCACCTAAAAGATCGTTCATATTATGTATGAATGTTCATTTTTCTTTTCTTATTATTTGTTTCAATAATAAGACAAAGGGCAAAAAATTACATATCATTCAATAATTACCTAAAATTACTAGAGTTATGTGCTTCACCAGTGTTGTATCCGGGGTTTTGATGTTTATATGATGATCGACCACAAAAGTTGGTTTAATTAACCTCAATGAATTAGTCTTCTCATAAAAGAAAATTTCCATTTTTGTTAGGAAATGGAGTCACATGTTATCCAATGTTTATAAATGTGTGCATTTAAGCAATTGTCTAGAGGTAGCTCAGCCCTACTCTTGGGCTTTATTAGTGAGCTATATCGTAGCATGCAATGGTTGAATATATAATCTTCAACTACCATTTATTCACACAGCCTGTGTTTGCAAGGCGTACCCATAATATTTTGTAAGCGGTATCGTATTTATATAAATAAATAAAAATAAGTATTATTTAATATCATTTTCTTACAAGTTGAAAGTCTTGACCCAATAATTTATTTGAATAAATTATTGCAAAGGAAAGTATAGGTTCAATTTTTCTTAGCCTCAAATTTTTTTAAAAAAAATGCTCGCTCAAAGATGTTCAAAAAATAGAATGTCTAGGTACAGCCTCAAACCTACAATCTTTACAAACCCAAATACGAGCTTGACTAGTGGATCAAGAAATACTCTTTACTAGGAAGCGGTGTCATTACTATATATTGCCTCGTTTTTCAAGAAAATTAGTATAAAAATTTAATATTTTTTTCCGGCAAAGTGGTGTCAAATGACACTGCTTTCACCCATTTGCATCCGCCCCTCGTTGTACTTGTGAGCAATTTGGTAATCAAGAAAGGAAAATGAGAAACCAAATTATGTAAATTCTGGATTTTACAAAAGCTGTGGTTGCAATATGTCACTCTGTAAATTAATGGTTACTCATGATGGCATTTTCTCTAAATCTACAAGTGCATAATGATTTAATTTATTTATTAGTTAGATTTATTATCTTAGTTATTTCAAAACAAACATGACGTGGCTAATCTTTTTCTACTTGGTTAAAGTGTCGCGTTTAAATTTGAAATAGACTTGCAAATTGAACTGCTATTTACATAACTTTAGGGTGAAACTTGAAAGTAGAAACTTTATCGATCTTTTGATCCTACATTTTACTTTCTTGGTTAAAACTGAGAGCTATTCAACGCAATCATAGTAATGTACGACTGCCTTTGCTCAAAACATAGAATATACCCAACAAAGTTATGGGGCTTCCAAAAATACATGCATTGGTGATTGGATAGTACTCAGAAATGTTGAGCAAATTGGAAAAAAAAGAAGACGAAAGTAAAGGTTAGAAAAGGTAAAAAGTGAAAATATAGGGGGTCGAAATTGAAGCACGCCAAGTTTCATTTTAACACCATTCCCGGAGCTAGTTACTCCAATGGATTCTACAAGCGTGAGGCCAAAGGCTGGCATATA